AGAAACTGAGGTACAGAAAGGTGAATTAGGCCCAGAACTAAGCACTTAGAGATGGGGAAATCGAGGCTTAACGATACTGTCCTCAACTTCAAGCCCTTATGTGCTTTTGTTAATAGTCTCTATAATATTGAATTCCCTCTGGGATCTATTGGAATCCCTAAATTACCGTTTGGTGGGAAAGAAGTAAATAGGCTAATACATAGATTGAAGAATCAACAATTTTTGAAGAGAGTGAATCAAATTATTTTATACTTCTTTTGTCATTATAAAAAAAAGTTCCACTTTGAAAACAGCTTTTATGTGTATAGCCTATCATTTCTAGTCCAGTATTAGACAATGCTACTTCTTCCATTCATATTGCCCCAAAACACTCAAGTTAGGTTCTCAATTTTTTTCACCTATAAAATTAGGGATTCTCAAACTATCTCATGGCCTATAGAATGCTTTTGAATTCATTTCTCCTAATTTCTTTAGATATTTCTCCAATTCCCACCTGGTGACACTCATTTTAGACTTCAAGCTCTCCTGTTACATTCACTTTCATTAATTTCCTCTCTCCCTTTTCAGCTTGCTTTTGTATATTGTTTTCTTCCTCTATTAAGTAAGCTCCCTAAGGGCAAAGACTGGTTTTTTTCATATTTGTATTGCCTGCACTTAGCATAGTACTTTGTACAGTTGTTCAATTTTCCCAGGTGTGTCCACCCCTTTTGATCTCGTTTGAGGTTTTCTTAACAAAGATGCTAGAGTGGTTTGCCATTTCCTTCTCCAGCTCATTTTACAGATGAGGAAACTGAGGCAAACAGGGTTAAGTGACTTGACCAGGGTCACAAAATTAGTTAAGTGTTGGAGGCCAGATTTGAATTCAGGAAGATGAGTCTTCCTCACTCAAGGCCTGGCTCTCTATCCACTACGGCATTTAGCTGTGCTGTCTTGTACATGGTAGGAGCTTAATAAATGTTTATTGACTATTGATTATTGACTTTCAGCACCAAATCAATGAGCCCTAAATCTTACCATTCTATAAGACTGTTTCCCATATAGTCAGACTCAAAAATCATTAGAGGACATGCACATGTATTCCAGTTGACTTCAGCAAGAAGAAATAATTAGTATCACTTTGACAATAGCGAGTAGAATTCCATCAGTCAGCTAAATTCTAACCTAGTGTCAAAAGAGATTTTTCATAATTTTGTGAAGAATGAACCCCTGTCATGCCATTCTTAGGTGCTAGCACTGAAAAAGCCCCTTGAAAGTTAATTCAGCTCTTCAGCATGGAGAGGCCAGCAGGTTTCATGGGTGGTGGATTCTCAGAACTGTCTGCCAATATTAAATCACAGACAAAACATGCATCAATTTCCCAAGTTGGAAAATGACAGAAAAGAAGGTTGCCATTTGCCCTCAGGTGCCAAGGAAATGAGAGGGAAATTGATCCAGCAACATGGTGCTGTTGACCAAATATGTCTAAACTCTGGAAAATAGAAAGCCTCAGAGGGAGAGTGTAATAATATTATTCTGTCTCCAATTCCTCCTACACAACATAAACACAGCTATGCAGAGGAGTGGAACAACAGCAACTATGAATCAAACCAAAAAGACACGCCACGGACTCAGAGAAGGAGGGAACGCTGTCCCATGCAAAGCACCCCAAAGCTGTTTCCTAATCAGTAATGAAGACACAGGAATCCAGCCATTTGTTCTGAAGGAAAACTTAAAAGAGCTTCTGGAATCAGCAGCTTTAATGTTAGCAAAAATCGTTCACTCAGCTTTGTTAGGTTACAGTGTAAATCTGTCTTCAGGAAGGACCTACATTATATCAGAATCTTTTAAGTGGATGTAAATATAGAGGAGAGAGATAGAGACAGAGACAGAGACAGAGACAGAGACAGAGACAGAGGGGGTTAGGTGATGTAGATATAGGTATAATTATAAATGACATATGTGGATATAGTGTGTAAAAATGCATGTTAGTGATTACATGTATGTGTGTATATGCATATATAATACACACATATATAACATATTCACATGCATGCACATATATACACATATGTGTGTAAATGTATATTTATAACATATGGGCACTGACCAACTGAATAAATATTAATCCTCCTTTGAGCATTGTTTTCTCAATGGGAAGTAATATTATATAATGGAAGTGAGGCCTTTCCTAGAATCAGGAAGGTTTGGTTTCAGGTTCTTCCTCTAATCTATACTGTCTGTGTAACTGGATAAGCCATTAAACCTCTCTCAATAGACCTCAAAGTTCAAAACCAGGATAACTTATGTTCAGGTCCTGCCTCTGATACATGTAATCCAAAGCAAGTCACTTATTCATTAAGTCACTAAGTGCTTTGGCTTAGTCTTGAACTATGAGCTGTAGAGAGCGTGTTGGCCTATATTGTTAAGGGGATTCCTAGTACATGTGTGTGTGTGTGTTTATGTGTGTGTGTGTGTGTATATATATATATATATATATATATATATGTATGTATATATATGTATACATATGTATATATATACATATTGTGTGTGTATATATATTATACATACATACATATATATATATATATTATGTGTGTGTGTATACAAATGAGAGAGAGAGAGACAGAGAGCTGTTCATTAAAGGGCCATTTTCCTTAAAATATTACATTAAATAACATCCTGGTAAATGGGGACTTATACATTTTTTTCAAATATGAACTTCAATTTGAATGCCCCCAGATGATCAATATTTTAACATCAATATATTATAGAAGAATTCATTAGAAATTGGTAAGTCAGAGCATTGCCCTACAAAGTTTAAATATTTGATATAGAAGTGCTTTTGACAAGAGGTTAAAGGTATTTGACTTGGATATAAAGCAGACTCTTCAATCATATGGGAAGAACATATGATATATAGCAATATCTGATACATAGCAAGATTTGTTCCATACCTCCTCTCAGAAAAGATAGATAAGCTCCTATTTATTTAGTTATTAAATCAGAGAAAAATACCCTCATTTGTCCACCCTCTGCAAAGTGTTGCTGATCTAACACTAATATCCTGTGATAGGAATTATGCACATTCTTATACGTAAATTTTGTATTTATGTATATGTTTTTCACATATATAACATTTTAAAATTTCAAATCATTTTCACATATATATTAAATGAATGGTACTGATGAAACCATTGATCCTTGAAGCATTGATGAAGGTTGTCATTTAATTCACTGGCTCCCAAATTCCCCCAATTTTTTTTTTCTTTTGAAACTAGGTCTCCCTATCTCACCCAGGATGGAAGTATGCTTGGCAATCATAGACTTCCTGTAACCTTAAAATATCAATAATCTTTTTTTTAATGAAATTTGAAACAAACATCTGAGGGTTATATTTGAACTTTCTAATTTTGGTTTGGGATATTTGTCTCATCTGATTGTTTTTACTTTCTGATATGAACTCTGCCAACTAGTTTTTAACCATGCATTAAAACATACATAAATATTCAAAGCAAATTAAAAGCAAGAGATAAATGGGGACATTTTTGGTACATACGTGCCTTTGAGATTTAATATGCTACATAATGGAGATGAGTTGGCTTTTCATTTCATTTGGCAGCTCATTTCTCATATATAGCATATGTGTTCTATTGTTAGCCTCCTGACATGAAGAGAGCATAAGGAAGTCCCCCTGCTAGTTAAATGTACCTGCTGTGATGATCTCATGGGTGGAATTGAATAAGAGTCAGTCAGGATGGACTGATTTGAGTAAGTTCCCATCTCTGTCTTTGGAATTATTATCCACATCCATTTGGCTGAAGATCTATTGCAATGCTGGAGTACTGGAGCAACAGAAATTGCATGATTGAAATTCTGAGAAAAGATACTAATCCAGGAAGAAAAGTCCTTTTGATAAAAAAGGCTGACAAGTATTTTCAATGATGTAAGAAAAAGAATCATATTATGGAAACTCTTGGACTGATACACTATCCTAAGTGTTGTTTTCCAGAAGGGAAAGTCCTTTTAGTGTTCTTCTGGATCATGTTTTATGTTATTATAATGGGTGAACATTTTTTATTAAACCCACTTTGTTTTGCTGTGCTCTTTGGTGCAATGTTGTAACTTATTATTGCTTTTTTATATAAATGTATAATTGCATCTGTCTCTCTATCTTTCAAAATGGGCCTAGTACAGATAATGCCATAATTCTAAGAGGGCTGAAAGGTCTGTAGACTTAATATTGTCAGTAAAATTGAAGGGTTCTAGAGTGTTTCTGTGTGTGAAGAAATGGCAGCTAGTCATGAACCTCATCATCTCTTATATTCTAAATAATCTCAGTTTATCCCTTTACTAATGAAGCTGGAAAGAACAAAGCTTTTGTTTTCCATAAGATTACATTTGCCTCTCACCTTGTGGTCTGATTAGGTGCTGAAAATCCCTGTTTAATAAAGAGAAATGAGATAAGACAAACACTCAGTATGAACACAACTTGAGTAGGAGGTTTGGGGTGGTCAGCTGCTTACATAATACCAAGGGGACAAAAAAGGGAAATTGGCATTGCCATTTTGAGGTATTTTTTTTAATTATAATTTTTTTTTTTTATTTTTGGGCAATTGGGGTTAAGTGACTTGCCCAGGGTCACACAGCTAGTAAGTGTCAAGTATTTGGTCTGAGGCCAGATTTGACCTCAGGTCCTCCTGACTTCAGGGCCGGTGCTCTATCCACTGCACCACCTTGCTGCCCCCCCTTTTTGGGGGTTTTGTTTTTTTGGGGTTTTTTTGTTTGTTTTAGGCAATGGGGTTAAGTGACTTGCCCAGGGTCACACAGCTAGTAAGTGTTATGTGTGTGAGGCCACATTTGAACTCAGGTCCTCCTGAATCCAGGGCTGGTGCTCTATCCACTGTGCCACCTAGCTGCCCCCATTTTGAGGTATTTTTAAAGGTAAGATATACTCTATTTTAAAATTTCAACAAAAGAGTCAAACTACAGATTGATTATTAAAATCAGTTCTTATTTCTTTCCTTTAAAATCATGAACAGGAATGTACATCTCCCCCAAAAATGGAGTCCAAACATAATGGAACGCAACATTTGCTCAGATGTGGAGTGACATATTTCTCAAGGTTGTTTCCGATTACCATTGCCAACAGAAGAGTGGATTTCATTTTCAAATCATTACTTGAAAGAGGAGAAAAGTGATACACATTGAAGTCTCCTTGAAACATAATCTTCATCTTAGGCACTAGGAATGTTTCTTTACAGAACAGAAATAAAAGTGAAATAAAGGTGAATGATGACAGTTATTATTTGCTCGTAAGTATGGTGCTTTTGAGTTTACAAAGCACTCTCCTCACAACAACCCTGTGAGGTAGGTAGTGTCAGCATTAACATCCCCATTTGTAAATGAGGAACCCAAGGCTCAGAATGGTCACACAACTAGTAAGTAATTACTAGAGCTAAAAATTGAATCCTGGGCTGCTGCCTACAAATCCAGTCTTCTTTCCCATATTCCAAACTGTTCACCAGTTGGAAATACACAAATAGTCTACCTACTTTCTAATCTATTGTACTGGGTGTGGTTTAACATTCATCATTAAGAAATGATTAATCAAACGCATAAATGTTTGGTTGGAATAGTATGATAGACTATGATTGATCTTAATGGTGTTAATCTGCTATTTGAACATGTGGGTAAGGTCCAATTTTTTTTTTCTAAATTAAAATCCACGTATGTCAATTCCATGGCATTAACTTATCTAAGTTTAGCCAACTTTGTATTATCTAATCAGTTACAGTTGAAATAAGTGTGTGTGTGTGTGTGTGTGTGTGTGTGTGTGTGTGTGTGTTCTTGCCAAGCTTTTTATTGTTCAGGAGAATTTGCTGAAACATCCTGTGCATAAGTCAGACTAAAATGTTGACTTCTTTTTTAAATTTTCTTTCATTTATTTGCTGGGCAATTTATCTTAGCACTTAGCCCTCAGTGTCTCAGCAGACATGAAACATGTTCAGTGAGAAGTGTGGGAATAAGTTTAAATATGCAAAACAAGTGTAAAACATTGGATTTTAACATACAACATGAGTGTAATATATTTGGGAGTGGGGCTTAATTAAGAAAGACAATGCTAAAGTACACGAGCAAGTCCTAGAGAACTGTTGTCAAGTGAGGGTGTCATTGAGTGGTATTGATATAGAATGGTCCCTTTGGTTAAATAGCAAGTTCCATCAAATCAAAAGGAATGTCAAAGATCAATGTTTTTCCTGACTTGATTTCCTCCAAGTGACTTTATCCCCTTTTTTAAAAATTGCAAACATACAGTGGTAAAACTCTTTGTTTTCATCAGATGATTTGTAAACTTCAGTTTTCATTTCCATTTACCTTAACATACTTAAAAATTCTGCCCTGTTTCAAGGGATAATGAAGGAAATAGGGTTTGTTGACCTTCACAAGGTCATGGATATTCTAAATGGGTAATACTGATAGGTTGTGATCTTCAAGAAGATCAGTCTGATGTCATAAATGTTGTGTTTTTAATTCTTGCTTCTAGAATCAACATCGTTTACAAACTGTCAAAAAGTAAACAAAGTATTGTAACCATTGAACCAGGCCATGGTCAAAGAGGGGAAATATGTTTGTTCATTCATACAAGTCTTACATTTGCAATTCATATTTAATGCAAACATACACATGTTTACAATGTATACAGGAAAAAAATATTCAAATGTTGATCCATTTAAGAGAAGTTACATTTAAATTCACATTTTATTGACTGGAATATTGTTGAATTGTTGTCCTAGAATGTACTCTTATTTGCCAACCCCCCAAAAAGGGGCCCTTACTAGTCAACATATTATTAAGAAAAATAAAATATTCATCGTCCAACAAATGGTACATTATGATGGTGACATTCCTGCAATTTAAAGGTAGCTAGAGGAAGTTTTCTGTGGAAGATTTATGGGAGGACGTGGGCAAAAATTACATAGGATGGGCAGGTATGGAAGATTTGTAATCTGTATCATTAGAATGAGTGCTATTTAATGAGATCATAGGTCCATTAAGAAGTAATTTCACCCAGAGATATTGGGTTTTCTTATTATATTATTCCCAATTGTTTTTGAGCATTTGAGATATTATTTCAGAGTTGTTCACTTTTGACTAGATAGACGAATATGGTATTAAGCATAAGATGCAAAAAAAGGGGAAAAATAACAAATATGAATATCTACTTTAATTTTTGTGTTTAGTTTGCTTCTGCTAATGGCCTTTGAGAGACAATGGAGTCTCTTTAAGGATACTTGCTTTCTGGTGGTGAATGTACATAGTCTTCTAAGTATACTCAAACATATTGAGAAATACTGTCTTTGATATGGGCATAATACGATATTTTGGTGCTCCATACAATTTACTTTATATAGGGAGCTATGCATTTGGGCTTTCAAATGGAAAACAGGTAATTTAAACTTGTGATTGAGTGTGTCTACTAAGAATCCAACAGAGACTCTCCTTTGTTTCATCTATAACACCTGTCTTCATTTTATTGGGGAAAAATATGCTAATCGTTCTATGGAAAACAAGCAGAAAAAAATATATCAGATGCTGTCATAAACACATTTCAAGCTTCAGACTGGTCAATATATTGAAGACCTTGAAGTGAGGCCCATGAACTTTTCAAAGAAGATTTGATTTTAAATGATGCCCTCTCTCCTATGAGCCACTAATCTATATGACCTTTCCCTCATTTTTCTCTGTCTCAGTCCTATAGAAGAATCAAAGTGAAGATGTGTTGGAAATTTAGGGGGTGTGGAATTGAAGGGAAAGGAGTGAGGTTTAATACAGGTCTGAAATAGAACCATATAATTTTAGAGATGGAAAAGAAATTAGAGGTCATCTAGATCAGGCCCCCTCATTTAACAGATTAGGACTTGGTCTCTGAAAATAAGTGGGACACTATTTTGTTGGTAATGAGTTTCATTATGATAGTTTTCTAATACTTTCCAAACAAATAGTAACACTGATTGCTTGCTATCACACAATTAATTCTTTCATAGGCAGCAATACACATGCAATCAATACAGTAATTTATGACAAGTTACCAAATGGACCTCCATTTTGCCAAGGATGTGTTGGTCAGATCTCCAAGTATCTCCATAAGTATTAGCCAACATTGGCACTAACTCAGAATTTTCCCCATTTTGTCCCCATTCTACCAGCTAGCCAGTTTAACAGGTTGGGGAACAGAATTCAAAGGTGACTTTCTGGACACCTTTTAAATACATTATGGTTAAGAGTGTAAAAATATATATATTTGAGACCATTATACACTTTAGGGACAGCAATCATACACACAAAATTTTACATCTTAGTTCCTAAGAGGAAATCTAACAGGGATTTTACCCCAGGGTTATCCCAAGCTTTCTACCAACTGTTAGCTCTGCTTGTCCAAGAAAGAAGAGGATCAAAAATGTGGGAATACTTTCAACCATTTCCAAGTGGCCACGCCTCTCATTTAATGTGAGATCATTGGGACTCCATGTCACATTGTCACTGTTTGTCTTTAGTGGGTTAGCAGGGGAAAAGACCTGAAAAAGTGAAGCATGTTTAAACAAACAAAAAGAACAAGACAAATGCCCAAACACTTGGAAACCGTATTTATCACTATTGTTTGGGATAGAAATGGAAGCAGAAAGAACAAAAAATAACCCCCCATCATTGAGAATACAATATTTGAAATGTTGGAAACTCTTGAACAATCAGGACAAATTGTGATAGGAATGTACTAACAATTAGAAGAAAACTCCAGAAAGTCAGATAGAAGGAGTGCTTAATTTGGGATCTTAAATCTAGAGTCCTCTCTACCCTCACTGTTTCTTTAAAAGGGAAAGTAAGAAGTAAAGAGGAAGAGATAAAGCTTATTCAAAGGCCTGTGACTTCCTGTGTGTTGGTATGCATTAAGTGATAGGGACAGCACAGATGTCTGTGGCTCTCTGCCAAATGAACATTGTATTTCTTATGACTACAGTACAAACACAGTTGACATGCCATAGTTGTATACCATATACTGAATTTACACAATTGAATAGTAATAAAAAAAGAGTTCATTATATATAAAATATAGGTTTCCCATATCCAAAAGAACAAACAAAAACCCTACCCCTCTTATATGTAGGATAGATTTAGTTGGAAAATTTGTTTCACAACAGTTGTTCTGGGGCAATATTTCCTAGTCTTTAGGGCTTGGCTAGAAGAGAACCACCATTGCTGACAACAGTGAAAGACACATAATACTAACAGTTCTGCCATCTTAATTACTAGGAGTGGGGATCCAAAAGCTAGGCTTGACCAGTAATTGAAACTGAAAAGAATGATGTTGGCAACATTTAAATAACAAGAAGGGAAGGAAAGTTTTTGATTTTCTTTCTCCCTCCCAGTTTTCTAATTCAATCTACTCTTTACATCTGATGCTTGGTACAGTATGCTTTCCCAAGGTTGGTCCAGATTCAGGAAGCTCAGTCTGAATCATCTGAATATTTAGGTGGTCATGGCTATCCAAAGTGGGCTCTCGCTAAGCAAGTTGTAACTTTATTATTTTCTCTTTTTTCATGTTGATTTTTACAACTATAAAGCACAAAATCCATGAAGCCTTGAAAAAAAACCTTTTCATTCAGTTCACATCTTTCTTTTGCCACTTAAAATAGTGAAAGCACAGTGGATATGTGATTAATTTGCAAATGACAAGTCCTTAACTCAAAGCAAGGTGAGATGACCACCCACAGAGACATAATGTAACTCACCATACCTCCCTTCCCCAAGAAAATGAGGGGCAAGTTCTGGATGTTAATCTTCCATTTCCAGTCCTTCTTCCAGAAGACCCTCCATCTCCCATTCATCAATGACATTAACATTTTCCCATAATCCCTGGCAAATAACAACTCTGTTTTGAGTGAAGGGACAGAAAGAAGCGCCTTAACATAACACAATAGGCAAACTTCATTCTGAAATGGAAAATGAATAACAAATTCAATTAAACTTAGGCTTCCTGTTTACACAAGAAAGAAGTGGGGGTTGAGGGGGGGAAGACATTTCAAAAAAAAAAAAAAGAATCAGAAGTATCTTATTAAACCACAAAGATTTGCCTTTAGGCAAATGAGCTCGAAGGACAAGGTACTGACAAGCTCCAGGTGTTTGCTGTTTAAGATGACTTTTAAAGTGTTTCTATGTAGATCTTTTAAATTCGTACACATGGATACACATTTTCTGCTTGTACATTTTTTGTAATGGGGCATTTCCCAAAATAGGGAGAATAAGTCTTTGAAACTCTTAAACAGATAAATTGCTAGGGAATTTCTTGTCTAAAAATTAATTGACAATTACTCAGATAAAGAACCCAGTTGAATAATTCCATCATGTCCACTTTCATGATAATGTCAGGATTTCTAGGGGAGTATGTTGAGTGATTAATAGAACATGTACTATTTGATGCCTAGAATCCCATGTATATGGGATTTCATTTCATAGTTTAAATAGCATGGGGTGTTTTAACTTTCTCACTGAGATAAGCTCAAAAGAGATATTTGAGAAAATGCAACCAACCTTGGTTGGAATTGGCTAGTTTCAGTCTTTGCCAGGACAATTAAGACATTGAATGAATTTATTATGCATCACACATTGCATAACTTCTCCCAGCTAGCTGAACAGTACACAGATGTAGCTGAGGAACATTTCCCATTGTAGTGGATACAGCTATGGATAAAGTGTTCTCACTTACTCACCTGTGCTGCCTACCCATTATATGGGGACACATTGGCAAAATCATAACTTCCATCCAACAGGAAGCTAGATATATGGGGAATGGGCATACCACTTACAAGTTTACCTTTCTAAATCTTTTTTTATTCAAACAAAGAACTTATCTAAGTATGGCATTTAAAAACAAACAAAAAAGACATAAGTCTTTGTTAAATTATTACCATTAATGTCTCTGTGTTCAAGCAGTGTACCAACTTATGAGGGCAGTTCGTATAAGAGACACACATTCTTTCACTGAACACAAAGTAGTAACTCCACCTAATTCAGATCCTCCTTCACAATCAAGTGATTTTGCAGCCCTCCTACTCTACTTGGATTAAGCTAATCTTATTTTTGAAACACATTGCTAAATTCTTGCATTTCTTCTTCTAAAGCAATCCCACACTACGTTTTCAATATCAAATTAATTTGCAATAAAAATGTATGGTATCCAGGTTTGCTTCATAAGGGGTTATAACCCAAAGATCTTCTGTGCAATGATAATCTACAATGTGAAGTTCTAAGCAAATATTCTCCAACCTGCTTCAGAATTCATGTATCCTTTCAACTTCTTTGCCTTTTTTTTAAGTGAAAACAGAGTAAAGATTGTAGCCACAGAAATGGTAGATTAATGATAATTGTCCAGGTGGCTAAAAAATACTGATCATGAAAAGGCTAGTTTTCCTTAATGTCATATGAAAGGGAAATAAAAGATAAACCTTTAGAAAATATTGACATTGACTTGACATTGGTCAAAATATTGCTTTATTCCAAATGAACATATATCACAATTTACTGAACCAGCAAGGGGTTCCCTGTGAACTGAGGAATTTGGCCTATGTCATTCTATTAATTTGCCCCTCCCTTCCTAATAAAAGAAGCCAAATGCCTTAGTTCATGTGGATTAGACTAGATTAAAAAAAATCAATCTTTTTAGCAATGAAGATGAGAAGGCTATCTGGTTAGTTGTATGAATAGACATAATTCAAAAATAATAAAAATAACACACCTTTAGTTTAGTCAGTACTTGATTTATTGTCATCTGGTGAAATGTTTTCTCCCTCTTAAAAAAAGGGGGCAGAGAAATGTTTAAGACCTTAAGAGGACCCCACCATGAGGACCCTGGGCTCTAGGAACTTACTAAGTTTATGTATAATGCAAAAAGTAAAAGAAAAAATAAAATTTAGACTTAAAATGGAAACATATTTGGCTGAATATTGGATTCCCTGACATCTCATAAGAAAAAAAATATATATCAAAGTTAAGGGGAAAGAAAGCCCACACACATACACACACAGGTTCATGTGAGTACATGCAGGCACGCCTACACACGGACACAGATACATACACACATATCCCTACAAGTGTTCCTTTGAAAATCAAGAGCTTCAAAGTCTGACTTTTTATGTAGTATATTTTGTGACAAATTATGATGGTTGACTGTTTCTATCAGTGCCACATTTAGAACTCCTTCAAGTTCTAGGACTTTAAAACCCTTTGAAATTCTTATTATCTCACAGTGCACCAAAGCATTTTGGAGGGCACCTGCATCTCCTGTGCTTCTGACCATTCCAGAATTTAGTTATTTTTGTGCCATATTTCAAAATCAGATAGGGAATATTAAAATCTGTTGCCACAGTGGAACCTGCAGTGACCCTATTGGGTGGACAAGAAATTAAAGGTTTGAGCATATTCCAGCAAAGCTGCAGGTACCTATTCACCAAACAATCTGCGTTCAGTGAATAGTATTCTGCATTTAAACCTTGAAACCCCAAACGTATCTAAGGCCAATATTGAACTTTTAGAGTGGTGTTTACGCATAGCCCAAGCCTTCTAAGAGCCAAAGAGAACAGTGCTAAAACTAACTGAAAGTGTATTCAGAATCCTACCAAAAAGCTTTTGATGTAAGCTTTATCCCTCCTGAAATGTTTCTTTCCCTTTAAAAAAATATTTTCTTAAAAAACACTATATGATATGAGGGCGATAGACTATTTGGTTTCTTCTAAGTAGATGCTTTTAAATTAATGCATATAAATAATTTGTATTTAATTTCCTCTCTTTCCTGTTTAGCAAAGCATTGAATGCACAGATCCTCATTTCCCAAGTCACTTGGTCAAGGCTGAGTCTCTTTGTGTTTCATTTCTTAAGACAAATTGTGCCTCTCTTTCTGATTTGGCCACAGGACTCATGGGTAGAAAGGCCGTGTTTTCACTTGCACTGTCCTCAGTTTCAACACTGGCCAGTTCATAGTCCTCTGACCTTCTTGCATCAGTCAGAATTCGAATCTGCTCCTGAACAGTTTCTAGCAATATTTTTACTTCTTGTTGTTCTACTATAAGACAACTGCTGACTGGACCACTCACATTGACAAGTTCAGCAGAACAGGAGTTTTTGCACCATTTGAGGCTTGTGATGTCAGAAATACCTGGCATTTGCATGCAGGCTTCCTCTAAGCCCACTGAAGGGATGATGGGAACAGAACTGGCCCTTGTGGATGAGTATCCCACTAGGTCCTTTTGATCCAAGCTATTAAAATAGGGTTTTGTCTCTCTTGAAGGCAGTTGCATATTTATTGTTGTATTTTGTTGGGTTTTTAATCCATTTGATGGATACCTGGAAAAGAAATACAAAAGTAAGTTATTTCAGTTTCCCATTGGATAGGAAATAAAGAATATGCATGTAAAGTGATAAGAAGACAAAGGCTTTCTTCTTGCTCTCTATCCTTGGACAATTGATCTTTGTCTAACATTTGAAAAAGAAGAGATAAATTCCACCCTGCCCCAAAAGACAGTCAGGAAAGGAAACAAATGATATCTCTGCAATTTTTCTTTATAGGTTATAGTGACAATTCTAGGGGGAATCATTGCATTTCTATAATCAAGTTTGTTTATTTTCCTCATTTTTAATGTCCAATTTTATAAGGGAAATGTCACAAGGCTGCCACTTTCTAAATGCTTACAAGGCAGCAAGCTTCATTTACCAGCAACTGGCAAACTGGAATGCCTATGGCCTCACATCAACGCTTGGAAAAGATTTGTTAACTTAACATTTGGATCCAAAGTAGAGTCGTCATGCTGAGCTGGGAAGGAATTACAGGATTGGATTGTCTGTATCACCCAGATTTTAAAGAGAGTAATATAAACAGAGTCCCTTCTGCATCTCCTCTCACATCCCTCCTCCAACCTTGTAATAGGTCATTTAACAAGAAATGAGGGACCCTACTGAGAAGACTCTTAGCCAGATTGCTAGTTTGGCATAAAGAGGAGGTTAAGTTTTCTCTCTCTTTCTCTCTCTCTCTCTCTCTCTCTCTCTCTCTCTCTCTCTCTCTCTCTCTCTCTCTCTCTCTCTCTCTCTCTCTTTCTCTCTCTCTCTCTCTCCCTCTCTCTCTCCCTCTCCCATCTTTTTTCTCTTCCCTCCCTGCCATCATTTATTTTGACTTTACTTGAATTTGATTCAAGTAAACTACGAGAATTTTGTTTCAGTTGTTGCCTGGAGCCAAATCACATGGGGTCTATTCATATTCATCCCCCTATATTTAAAGTATTGCAATGTTTCATCTTCCTCACCATTAAGAATTGTTAAATGTCAACACTTTGCCCTCTCTACACTGCTCAGGGCTTATTAACATTTTACTCAATTTGGGTTTCCCAGTGTCAAGGACAGGAATGGGTGAATGTAGGGGAAAAAAAGGCATAGATTGATTAAATCTTCATAGAATCCAGATAAAGTATTTAGGGTATATATGATGGTATCCGATTAGTACATAGCAAATGGTACAAAGACACTTTTTCTTTAATGTGGTATTTCCATTCAGCCTGTTCTGCCCCTCTACTCAGCTTTCCAGTTTGCTTTTGTGTGTGTACAAGTAATGAAAGATGACCATGTGTATACTAGAGGGAGATGTAGAAGGAATATTCGAAAGCTTTTCTTTTTTTCAAAAATATATCATAAGAAAGCTATTTGGTTCCCACTTGTTACAGAATATTTATTTAATTTCTAAAAACACCCCAAGCTATAGAATCAAATACATGCCTCCTTTCTGTTCTATGATTATCCATCTTCTTCCTGAAGTTGGTCCCAAATGAATGGGAATGACATGGAGATGTTTGTTTGCTTAAGGCTCTTATTAAGAGAGGATTGGTCTACTCCTTAATTAGTACATACTAATTAATTATTCAGTTGATATGAAGTTTTCTCAGCTCCTCCATCCTGTTGCTCTCAGAGTTGGTTATACAGATGTTTGTGACTCTCAAAGGTAAGGAAAGTTTACCTCACATGGGAAGGGAGAAAACAGAAGTAGAATTCTCCAGTTTGTCACTGAAGCATGGCAATTAGTTATCTTGAGGAAAAGGGAGCTGGGCTAGTGTGATATCATCTTCTCAAGAGCAAAACCTTAAAAGAATTTATTCTCTTTTTACATATATTGGTAATAGAGCATATAGTGTACATTTATGTACACTCACACATACATATTCTCTACCACATATATATATATGTACATACACACATATGTGTGCATCTATACATAGCTATCTTTACTGAAATAAATTGGTCAGAGAGTAACAAAAGCTATGTTATAGTTCATTTAAAAAAAAGATTAATGTAGACACAGCAGAATTTTGAAATGTATAGAAGAAATACATTAATTTCCCTTAACATCAAATAAATTAAATTCAATAGTATAATTGTACAACCATTTAAAATGTGCATATATGAATTCAAATATTGCATCTATGACTAGAGGAGAGAAAAAATATTTAGAAAAAAGACTCATTTCCTTTTTCATGCAACGTATAGGGATATAGAGGCATAGAGTATATCTATGGATAACTGTTATGCAAAATCAGATTGGAATAAATTAGAGAGATGCAAAACAAAGTCTTATATAGGTGTGGGGGAGAAATGTCCTCATTAACTGAGAGGATCAGGGAAGACATTGGAGGGGTGGGGGACATTTAATTTGAACTTTAAAGCAAGGACAGGAATTTCATAAGCAAGAGCAGGAGGGATGACATTCCATATATAAATAACTGAGTAAGCAGGGACAAAGAGTTGAAAAAGTATTAGGTATACTTGAAGGAAAGAAAATAGTCACTTGGGCCAGACCATCCAACATAAGGTAGAAGTTAGAAAAATTGAGTAACATAAGATTATGCAGACTTTTGTATCCCAAGCCAAGCTCTTTAAAATTCCCTGAGTAGACAATGACCAAGTGAGAATCACCGAAAATTTTTAAGGAAAATATTTATTTGACCATATCTATGCATAAGAGTAGGCAGCTAGGTGACTTAGTGAATAGAGGCTGTATCTGGAGTCAGGAAGACCCAAGCTCAGATCCAGCTTCAGATACTTATGACTATGGGCAAATCACTTAATGTCTGTTTGCCTTATCCACTGGAAAAGGAAATCGTAAACCACTCTAGTATCTTTGCCAAAAAAACTCCATGGCCAGTTTGAGCCAAGGGGCTGTGAAACACCGAGCACATCTGAATCAACTGAACAACAACAATAACAATAGTGACAACAACAATAAATAAAGGAAATTAGTAGGGCAAACGAATGAGAAAATGTTGTCGTTCAGTCATGTCTAGCTCTTAATGACTCCATGGACCATAGCACACCAGTCCCTTCTATCCTCCACTAACTACTAAAGTCTGTCCAAGCTCGGATTCATTTGTTTCCATGACGGTATCTATCCATTTCATTCTCTGCTGTCCCTTTTCCCCTTTTACCTTCAATCTTTCCAAAGGTCAGAGTGTTTTTCAATGAATCATGCCTTCTTATTATGTGGCCAAAATATTTAAGCTTTAACTTTAATCTTTGACCTTCCAGTGATTGGTTGAATTAATTTCTTTAAGTATTGACTGATTTTATTTCCTTGCTATCCAAGGGACTCTCAAAAGTCTTCTCTGGCACCACAGTTCAAAAGCATCAATTCTGTGGCACTCAGAGGAAATGATGTCTATGCTGCATATTACATATAACATAGATACATACATACATATATATATGTATATATATATATACATGTATATGCATGCATACATACATATCCATCTTTTCTTCACTTAAAACAACTCAATGTAATAGATGGAGGAAGGAAAATGATATTGTAGCTCGTATGGAGGAATTAAGGGACTGGGCAGTTGCGAGATGTGACATTGAGCCCCAGTTTATCTACTTTTTAAATTCCATTCCATTCAATCTTTCAAGCAACATTGATAATGAGAAGGTGTAGAACACTGTAAATAATGTTAGAATTTTCCAATTTGTTGGTTGATTTGGAATGTTTTCCCTTTTTTATAAACTTTGTTACAGTTTATATTATCAGGGAGGGAATAATACATACAGGAATGTTGATTAAGTAAAAATAAAATATATCAATAAAATTATTGTGAAAGAAACATTTTTACAAAGCAATATATTAGGCACTGGGACAGTTATGGTGGTTAAGTTAGACAGGGTCCTTGCTGTCAAGGAATTTACAATCAAGTCAGATTTAAGGGTTAGAGCTTTGATAGAAGAAAATTTTTGGCTAGGCATCCCAGCGGATAGAACAATGGTCTGGAATCATGAAGACCAAAGTTCAATTCAGCCTCAGATCTTCCTAGCTGTTTGATCCTGGGCAAGTCACTTAACATCTGTTTGACTCAGTTTCCTGATCTGTAAAATGAGGATATAATAGCACCTACCTCCGAAGGCTGTTATGAGGATCAAATGAGATAAAAATCATAAAGCCTTCAGCACAATGACTGGAACAGAGAAAGCTCTATAAAAATTTTGGTTATTATTATTATAAAGATTTTAGACATACTTGCATTGGTATTGTAATACTCCTTGACTTGTGCTCAGCCAGAATTTTAGGGAAGTGTATGCCATAAGTGTATTGAGGAAGGAGAGTAGAGGATGGAATTGTTAAAATACAAATAGATATCTAGTGTTGAATATGTTGATGAATTCAGTATTGATCTTCTGAAATGCACTACAAATCAAAACAGTTTCACTGTACTTGAAACAGAAATGTTTGTTTAAAAATGAAAATTTTGATTAAGTAATTATTTGCTCTCCATGATAACCAAACAGTTCTGTCAGCCTTTTTTTTTTTCCTTTCATGGATCAGAATGGGCTCTTTTGATGTTAAGTTGTTTGAGATTTGGAGGTTCTAGAGTAAGATTTCTTAACCTGGGATCCAAAGATGGATTCCAACAAGCCTGTGAAATCAGATGGGGAAAAAATATTTATTTTCACTATCTCCTTTTTTTTTTCTTTTCTGGTGAGGCAGTCGGGGTTAAGTGACTTGCCCAGAGTCACACAGCTAGTAAGTGTCAAGTGTCTGAGACTGGATTTGAACTCACGTCCTCCTGACTCCAAGGCCAGAGTTCTATCTGTTGAGCCACCTAACTGCCCCTATTTTCACTGTCTTCTAACGAATATTAGACTTGTTTTCAATTATGAGGATTTAAAAAAAAATATTATTTTCAGAAGAGTTCCATAGGCTTCACCAGACTGCCAACTGGGTTCTTGACACAGACAAAAATATTAAGAATCTTCTTCTAGAAACTCCTATTTAAGAGCAGGAATTTGAATTTGCTCTAGTTTACTACTAGAAATTC